TAGAGGCCGGCATCCAACGCTGTTAGTGTCTAACTTCAACCAGTCAACGAAATCTTAGCGACAGTTCACCAATTTTCTTCAGTGAGTTGATATCTCTACACAAGATGTGGTTGAACTCCACTGGTTACTGCTTCCCACTAGTTAGCATATGATTATAGATCAGAAGGGGCTTTGTGTAGATTTTAGTGATTTTATATAGAACGAAACGACCGTCCAGTGCTTCCAAGTTTTCCATGGTGGTCTAGCTTCAATGGACTCATAATTTCAACTATGAAAATACTGAAATCTCCAAAAAAACCTCTTCTGATCTATAATTACATGTTTACTTGATATAATGCTGACAAAATTATTCTGTAATATTAACATTTAAAATTATAATTACTTATCTCTACTTTCTACAGTTCAAGAATGTATTGAACTCAAAACAATTGTCTGTAAGTCAACATCAAAATCAGAATCTATAATACGAATATTAAGACAGTTCTATTATACGGAGCGTAAGACGTAAGTAACTACTGTACAAAGTCATTACTTGTAGAACTACTATAACCATCACCAAAAATGTACATGTATTCATAGACAACTGCCTACGCAAGATATTGAATATCCACTGATCGGATACCAAGAGAAACAGACTACTGTGAAAGAGAACAAATTAGCTTCCATTTGAAGAGGAAATTGGGGGAAGACTTTGTAAGTGGATAGGATACGGGTTGATGAATTCATTAAACTGCTTCACGAGACAAGCGCTAACTTGGAACCCTAAAGGGAAACGGGAAAGGTGAGGGACAAAGAACGCACTGCGAAGAGATTGGGAAGCAGAGATGAAAAGGATGAATAGTAACTGTAAACAAATGGAAAGAACAAGGCAAGATATAGTTGGTTGGGGGTTTCTGGTCGGTGGCCCGAGCTACTTCACGAGGGGTAACAGACGCAAGTAAGTGACTTTTTCTGCTCCAACTAAGGTTCTTAATAATAGTTTAGGTAAAAAAATAAGGTAGGTTTAGCTAAAAAAAATACTAAATTTAATTTAATTCGGTTTCATTAATTACTGAACATTTATCTGAAACGGATGGTTGACAGAAACGATTTACTATTTCAAATTAAAATGAAACATGAACAAGTTGTAGACTACTATTTGTGTAGCATATTTCGGTTAATATGTTGATGAATATTCATTGATTTACTGCAAAGATCCCCTTAGCCCTAAATCTTTTTAGAAGAGTTAACAAGATTATCACATCGGAAGATGATAAACAAAAAGAACAAAAGAATGTAATTAACATCTTACAGTTTAATAACTCTCCTATGAAGATTATCAAAAGTGTATCAAAATGCGACGTTTCATTGCTAAATAGTACTATGGATTGGTACTGCAGTTTTACTATATGCCATAGTATAACAGAAGAATTTCAAAGAATTTTAAAACAACACAGAATTAAAGTGTATTGCAAAATATTGAACACACTTTGAAATACTTTAGTTCGCTTAAACGGAAAGCTCCCCTTTATATCAACACAAAACTGTGTTTACAAATTAAGACTTGTCGACTGTGATGCCTTCTATATTGGATAATCATCTCGCGAAGTATTGACTCAAGTCAAAGAACACATTGAGTACACAAAGGATTCACCTAATAATCCAGTAGAACTGGATAAACTAACTATACATCCAACTTGGACTAACTATCCAAGCTACCATATCTGATATTATTGGCGTTTCACTTTACTATCGTACATACAAATTAAACTCTATCCTTTCGCTCCACAAATGTCACATTCTTTCATCCCTGATCTTGGACACATATACACACACAAACCTACGTACATTTCGCTTATAAATTACCTTGACCGAAATGACATGAAATTGACTAGTGCAGAACAGTTTTTTGATTGATCGCATATAATATTCTTGCGTTGTTCCTTTGTACTATTTAAAGTTGGATTAATTTTGATTTGGTTATTTACTCGTTGAAGAGGTGGCTTACACTGAGTCACAAAACGTCAAAAAACCGAATTTTTCTACTCATTGAAATATTACAAATATATTAATCTGCTTGTAACAATCTACCCAATGCTCAATTCATTAGAAAATATCAAGCCAAACCTTGGTAATGATACCTATGTTAATGAATAGTTTGCAAAACGTTGGATCCTGAGTATACGGTAGACATTATATGTAGCAATTCCTTATGAGTAATTCTAGAGATTGTTTACTAGTGATTTTTAGATGGATAATTATGTTTTCTCTGACAAATCAATTAGATTACTGGAAGAAATCCAAAAACTAGTGATGGATAGCTTGTAAGAAACAAGTGAAATCTGTCAATACGTTGTTACTAAAACAAATAATATGGATTACTATGTCAAGCAAAAGAATGACAAAAAGTGAGAAACTTTAAAATGATGACCAGAGCACAATGGACAAAAATGATAGGAAACAAATACAATCAACCAGTATCTAAAGTTTAAACATGAATCATAAATGTTCGAAGTAAACTTTAAGGAATCCTGACAATTAAAATATAAAAAAAATGATTACATCATTGTCAAGTCACATAGACAAGCAGCGTTTTCCAGTCAATTCTTAATGATTATTACTAATTCTTAATCTTAACCTTTCAACAATACTAATTTCAACCAGGAATACAACCCTAATTGATTTCAAGTTTTTAATGTGATTACTAGTTCATTTATATCACCGACATTATGGTTGACTACAAGTGATTTTGTTTTCTCAAGGTCATCGAAAGTTTTGCTTTTACCGCATTTTCCTTAACTTTCACCTTGAAAAAAACTGAATTTTTTATGAAAAGAAATTTTATTTGATTGTTACTTGTCATAGAGAAAGTTCAATGACTATGGTACTTTTACATACAGTATCGAAATTCAACTTTATCCAAGATTTGACTTCTATCTTTACTTAGTATGCTTAAACATTTGTGTTACTTATGATGTAAAACATGATTAATGTAATAAATAAATTTTATTATAGTTGAAAGCGTGAGTCAATTGAAGCTAGACCACTATGGAAAATCTGGAGACACTGGACGGCCGTTTCATCCTATTATGGGACTCCTCAGCAGTGCGAATCCACGATCCCGCACTCGCGAGATTCGAACTGAAGACTGTTGGATGCCAGCTCAGTGGTCTATCGGTTAAGGGCTTCGGCTCGAAACTGGTAGGTCCTGGGTTCGAATCTCGCGCGAGCGGGTTCGTGGATGCGCGCTGCTAAGGAGTCCCATAATAGGGCGAAACGGCCGTCCAGTGTTTCCAGATTTCCCATGGTGATCTAGCTTCGATTGACTCACGCTTTCAACTATAATAAATACTAAATCTCCACAAAACCCCTTCTATAATTAAATAAATTTTAGACAATACAATTATATTGTTGTTATTGGTAAATTAAACGAATAAATATTAGTTGAATATATGATCTTACATGCAGTAAAATTAACAAGTCTCTATAAGCAAAGATGGATAGGGGCTAACAGTGGAATCCAGGACGCGCATTCCGTCCTATTTTAGGACTCGTCAGATGGATGTACCTTCATCTCAGAGTTGATGTTCACTCTGGGACTCGAACGCAGTGCTGTTCGCTTTACACAATATCGCGTTATCCACTAAATAACTGAGTCCTGATAGCCACCTGTTTGTGCAATGAGGTGAAGTTTAAATTCATTTGGTGTTGTTTACTTGTATCTCCTCATTGTTATTTAGGACTGTGATTCTCTAGTTTTAAAAAGGTGGTAATTCATTAAAATTGGAGTCTGAAAAAGCATGAAACTGGACTAGAGAATATACGAAAATAAGATAACAAAAATATAGTGTGTTTTTGATATACTGTTTAGTGTTTAAAATGTGCAAATATGAATTTTTCCATGGAACTTCAATCGGCAAAATTAATAAAATAAAATTTTGTCTTCCAAGAAAACTAAAACATGACTCTAAAGTCGGATAATTTGGAATCAAAAGAGCTATATAGTGTTGATCTTCAACATGTCAATGGTTATTCACTCTTGTAAAGTCTAGAAGTAAACAAAACTGACCATCATTTACTTCCTAGTTTCTAATTGTTTGCTCAAATATTATTAGCTTCTAATATCCGTAAAAACTGACTACTATAAAAATTATGATTAGCCAGAACAATTAATAAGTTATTTTCCTATCATTTCAGTGAACGGTTGTTACTTGTTCGGGAAGTAAAATATAACGCAAGTAGAATATTACCAGCTGTCATAAAACCAAGTGATCTAGTTCTTTAAATAAAAGTCAAGAACTTATAATTAGTACTGGCAACAATTGTAAACAATACAGAATCATTTAAAACTGTCTCTTATTCCTATTTAATGTCTTACATCAACTCGGCGCTCAAATACTGTGAAATTATTCGCTCTAATTTAGACGTAAGTTTTTATATATGTCTCTTATTTTAGTTAAAACTACATCAATGCAATAGATTTATAAGCAAAGATGAATAGTGGCCAGCAGTGGAATCCAGGATGTGCGTTTCGTCTTATTTGGGACTCGTCAGCTGGATTTACCTGCATCTCAGAGTTGATGTTCACTTCTAGTCACTATCCATCTTTGCTTATAAAACTTGTGACTTCAGGCAATATCGAGGCAGTGCGTACAGGATGTAAATATGCCAACAAGATACTGATTAATTGCAGTCCTAAAATTAACAATAGGAATATACAAATATACAACACCAATTGAATTGAATAGATTATTTTAATTTGTATATCTATGTGCTTTCTTATAAGAGTATAAAAAATTCAATGTGAATGCTGAGGATTCCCACAATACGACGAAACAACCTTCCAGTTCTTCCAGGTTTTTCATAGTGGTCTAGCTTCAATTGACCCATCATCTTAACTATTAAAATTTATTTTGTTTGTAGATAGGAAATTTCAAATTAATTTCATTTTAAAAAATTAGTCCATTTGGCGCTAAATATTTTAATCATTCTTATAACATAATTGATTAAAACAAACTTACATATCATCGTTCATTTTCTTTAATGATAATTAACCTTAATAAGAATGATTAGTAGTAAGTCCTTTATCCACAGTAGTATATATAATTTTTTTTAAAAAAAACTATAATTCACTTTAGTAAATTAATAAAAATTCCCATTTATTATTATTATTATTATGAGTTATTCAAAAATAATATAAAATTAAATTAATAATCATGTAGGATATTTGAAAAATAGTAAATTATATTTAATTAGAAATCTGATTGGCTTTTTCAAATGGACCAATCAAAAATAAAAATTATAGTCAAGTTAAACTGTCTAATTTTTTTTAAAATAATCAGAATGGGGTATTTTTTGGAGATTGTAGTAATTTTAATAGTTAAATTCATGTGTCCATGTAAGCTAGACCATTATAGAAAGTTTGGAAGCACTGGACGGTCGTTTCATCCAAGTATAGTAATCCTCAGCAGTGAGCATTCAGGATGTTTCATGCGGGATTTGAACCAATCACTTTCGGTTTCATGCACGAATGATCAACTTCTAGACCAGTAAGCTGGCATCCAACGGTGTTCATGGTGTTAACTTCAATCGATACACGAATGACTACGCAACCATCTATCCATTGTCTGAGGTAGATTTATGTATCTACCTGACGCGGATCGGACTACAGTGGTCATAGCTTTTCACTAGAACTCTAGTTTTTGACATTGTTTTATGTAAAATTACAAATTAGTATTTAAGAAGAAAATCTTATAGGTTAAAATATAAATGTTATTTCATCTACATATACAGGAACAGATAAATATTGTGTTTTTAAAAGTTATTTTATACTTTAAGTTATTGTACCCTTATGTCAATACACATGAACATCTTATCTGTTACCATTTTTATTATTCAGACATAAATAAACACAGTTGACATTTAAGAAGTTTTGTAAAACAATACAAATTTTGTGGTATCTTGTAAAAGATAGTAGTTCACAATGAAATCACGGATTGTGACTAAATGTGCTTGAATATAAGGTTATTAATTTATCATAATGAATTCAGACAGTTCAAGATTATTTAATATCGCTCTATAGCTCAGTCGGAATGCTGATTTGTCATAGATTGTCTTTTTATTATTGATGAGAAGTTGTTTGTCAATTACTACTAGATATGACGTGTTTTTTAATTAGGGTATAAGCACCTATGGCCTACAAATATCAACATGAAAGGTGCTGGGTTTGAGTCTCGGAATGAATATTAACACTTGGTGGTATATCCATCTGATTAGTCTTAAATAGGAGTAAACATGAATCTATGACTCCACTTTTAAACACTATCATAACTCTAATTAATCCAGAGTATTGTTGTAAGCAATGAAAACTGTTTGTTAATAATTGTAAAAAGACAACTAGACACATAAAGTATGAAAACGTAATATATAACCGATCAGACAGACATTACATTATTTTAAAATTTACTTAGTATTGTTTGTTTGGATCTCTCAATTGATGCTTTTAAAACTGAAACTGATCAGTCTCTAATTGGCATATGTGCATACTGTGCATATTGCCTCGATATAGCCTAAATGCACAAGCATGTTAAGCAAAGATGGATAGTGTCTAGCAGTGAAATCCAGGACGCGCGTTTCGTCCTATTTGGGACTCGTCAGCTGGATGTACCTGCATATCAGAGTTGATGTTCACTCTGGGACTCGAACCCAGTACCTTTCGCTTCCACTATTAGCCACTATCTATCTTTGCTTACTATATATTATTTTGACATGGTGATTCAACACATGGTTAAATGAAACTGCAAAATATACTATAGGTGTTTGAAATAATGATAAAAGTCAAATCAGATGACAGATAATTTCAAGTGGTTAGAAGTTTTCATAATTCTTTAAATAACAAATGAAGATGATTGCGTCGTCGAATAATTGAATTACCATTTACCAGTTACTTATATAATGGTAAAGAACAATAGACCGCCATCTGTGTTCAATACTTATTTATACGATTTCATTGTAACGAAATGAGAATAGTCTGCAAATAAAACATGTGCCAATTTAGTTATCTAATTAAGAGATATAAGGAAAATGGAAAATAAAAAGATTATGTTTATGAATTATGTGATATTGATATAGGGAGCATGAACGTTACATGGAAAAATCGATTTATTACAATACCACATCTGAACAGAGATTTTAAACTCGACTTAACCGATCGGTTAAGTGCTCTGACGCGAGACTGGTAGGTCCTAGGTTCAAATCTCGCGAATGCGGGATCGTGGATGCGCACTGTTGAGGTGTACCACAATAGGATGAAACGGCCGTCCAGTGATTTCAGGTTTTCCATGATGATCTAGCTTCAATTGACTCACGCATTTAACTATGAAAACACTGAAATCTCCACAAAAAAACTCCTGATAATTGTTCTTTGTTAACATCCGTGTTACATAAAACTGTTTAGTCTGCTTTATTGTCGTTACTAGATTATATTGAACATAAATTTGTAGAACGGGACTAAACAATATACGAGAACTTTGGTTAACAACTTTCGTATTCCTTCCATTTTTGTATTTTACTTATTCTTTACATTCGTATCTTGATTCTTACATAACTACTATATTACTGACCATTCATCAAAATATTTTGTTAGTTCTTTCTTCTCCTTTTACATATTATACAACAGCTTGATTTTCGATTCAGTTTCAGTTTGGAAAGGACAGGAGGCTTGATGGCCTGTGTTAGATCTCTCAGCTGATCCAACTTCCTTTTGATAGAGTCAATGGATGGAGCCTCAACCACGTGCTGAGGTAATGAGTTCCACTCGTTGATGATTCGATGGGAAAGTCAATAGTCATCTGACAAGTAATTCGTTCTAAGCTTGTAAGCGTTTTTGGAGTGTCCTCGTAAATTATCTGTTTTGGAAGACGAAGAAGATGAGGGTATATCAGGTGCACATTTATCACTAAGCAATTTGAAAACTGTAATCAAGTCGCCTCTGGTTCTGCGATATGACAGAGGGAATAGGTTTAGCTTGGTCAGTCTAGTACCATAAGGGAGCTTCGCTATTCCGGAACCCTTTCCAAGAGTTCACTGTCTTTTTTAGGCAGGGATTAGCTGGTTGTATACAGTACTCAAGTTTAGGACACACACATTGTATACAAAGTCAGAAACGTTTTAGCGTCGAGATGACTAAAAGCCCTGCGTATGGACCATAAAGTTATAAACCCTTTGGCGGTTATTGCAATAGGTAACTCAGTGTTATTCATCGTGTATGTATCTATACCTTGATGTCCATTATGCCTCAGAATACACTTGGAAGTATTTATTGGTAATTGCCAGGTTTGGGACCATTCAAATAATATCTCCAGGTCGTTTCGAAGTTCTAAGCTATCATCCTTACTTTGATTATTATTAATCCTATTTCTTCCAATTAGTTAATATTAGTTTATTATCGATATACGTCATTAAATAATCATTACGTAATGTATCTACTCGATGAGTGTCTTTCCTTTATTGTGAATCATATATATATATATTAGTGTAGAGCCATAATGAAAATTTAATTAAAAAGAAATTTCTCCGCTCGATTCGTTCCTTTTTTATTTGTCAAATGTCAAAATGGGAATTTTCACTATAAACAATATGTTCAGAGATTTAAGTAATTTATATTCATTATTAGACTGTTAAATACTAGGCTAGATGTCATATGAAATCTATCAGGTGAATCTTCAATTAATTGATGAAATGACTCCAAACTGACTTACTTGTATGTTTTCATTCACAAACAATGTAAAACATTTAAATGAATAGGTTACAACATGGAATATTGAGCTTCAGAGAACTTACTAAACTAATTGACATAGGATAATGCTTTTAGTTTATTTAAAACGTTTACATAATTGTGAACTAGTGGTTGTATATCAGATCAAACTGGTAAAAGATTTCAGATGATGAACTGAAGAAAAATAGCAAAATGATCAGAAGTTTTAATGTTTAAATTTTTAAATTCAGTCAAGTTATGACATGAAGTGATCGTTTTTGAAATTAAATCCAATAGTTTACTTCTCATAGGCAAAATTTCAGTAGGTAATTTATATGAATCACTGTTTTCTGTACTAATTATATTAGCTCCCAAGTGCCCTTGTACGGTCGAGAAAGGGGATGGCCCGCCTCCTATCTCGAAATGCTCTCAAACGGCCACGCGTATACAGCCTCTTCCAGGGAAGTCCTACTCACTGCCTTCTCGTGGTAGGGGTATTGTTTACGAAATTGAGAGGACGAAAAGCGAATGTCCGGCTCTTTATTCGGGTTAGTGGACAAGGCGAGTCCACCTAGGGGAGTTGGAAAACCCTGATTCCAAACCAATGGTGTACATGGGCTCCAGTATCCTGAAGGAACAAATGACGTATGAACCAATCGTTGGTCACCGGCTACCATGGGACTGCATCTCCTCACGATGCTCCACTGCTTTGTGGACTAGACCTTCAGGTCAAAGGCTGCGGGTGTGGCTACTTAAGAAAACCACCTGCTTCAGTTTGGGCACCCGGGCAGTATCATAGCCCTCACACAATTAAATGAAATGATAATTTTTTGTGTGGCGCAAATATTTATCTGGTGCTTCGTTGTGCCAATATTTATGTCTTCAAATAGGTAAATAAGTACTGCTTACGAGAGTCGACGAAAATATGCTTCTGTCAAAATAAATAAACATATATATATATATATAGATGTATTAAACAAAAAAAAATTAAAAGAGAAACTGAATGCAGAAACTGCTGTGAATGGGCATTCAGGTGGCGATAGCCAATTTGTATTTTCTTACAATATTACAGAGTATCTTGATAGAATATGAAGAGCATACACTAAATATTTCACTGACAAATCTTCCATAAATTGTCGTTTAGTTTCTGTTAGATTCTTTCAGTTCACAATCCCTTTCAATTCTTTTTTATTATTTTGTTCAATTCGATCACCTTGACCTTCTGCTGTCAACCATTCAATTTTTCTTTGGTTTTACATACTACTTATGTTGAAAGACAA